GGGGGGGCGGGATCTAGCTTGGTAGCTAGGACATAGACTCCTAAAATTTGATATGAGTTTCAGCCTAACTGCAGTGTTTCAACATTACACAGGCTGCACCGGCATCAACAGGAAAGATCACTTTTTTCTATTCCAGAATGCCACTTCCATTATTTTTTTATTTTCTCCTATGCAATTTCCATTTTTCTTATATTTGTAGAAAAGTTGTGTGTGTAGATTCCTGCATGGCAGGCTAAATGTACTCTACTGGGCTCTCCAACGTTTCATGCTTGCTCCAAGCTGGTATGGGTTCAGGCTGCCACTGAGAGAAGCTGTTGTCTTGTCTTCCCTTCTCCCATTTCAAGGCTGTGAATTCCTTCTCTCTTCCCTGCACCAGAGCTAGCACTGTGTGGTTTGAAGGATAAACTAGAAGATTTTTTGGTTTTCTCTACTAGTTTTCAGCCTCGGTCACCTTTTGCAGACTCTTTGGAATTTCTTCTTAATATCTAATCTAAAGCTACCCTCTTTCAGTTTAAAGCCATTAACCCTCATCCTGTCATTACACTCCCTGATAAAGGGTCCCTCCCCATCTTTCCTGTAGGCCCCCTTTAAGTACTGGAAGGCTGCTATAAGGTCTCCTTAAAGCCTTCTCTTCTCTAGGCTGAACAACCCCGTGTCTCAGCCTGTCCTCATAGGGGAGGAGCTCCAGCCCCCTGATCATCTTCGTGGCCCTCCTCTGGACTCATTCCAACAGGTCCACATCTTTCTTGGCCCCAGAGCTGGACGCAGTACTCCAGGTGGGGTCTCATGAGAGAAGAGTGGAGGGGCAGAATCACCTCCCTCAACCCGCTGGTCATGCTTCTTTTGATGCAGCCCAGGATACAGTTGGCTTTCTGGGCTGCAAGCACACATTGCTGGATCATATTCAGTTTTTCATTCACCATCCAAGTCCTTCTCGGCAGGGTGGCTCTCAATCCTCTCATCACCCAGCCTGTATTTGTGCCTGGCGTTGCCGTGGCCCATGTGCAGGACCTTGCACTTGGCCTTGTTGAACTTCATGGAATTCACACGGGCCCACTTCTCAAGCATTTCAAGGTCCCTCTGGATGGGATCCCTTCCCTCCAGCGTATCGACGGCACCACAGAGCTTGGTGTCATTGGCAAACTTGCTGAGGGTGCACCCAATCCCACTGTCCATGTTGCCAGCAAAGATGTTAAACAGCGCCGGTCCCAATACTGACCGTTGAGGAACGCCACTCATCAATGGTCCCCACTTGGACATCAAGCTGTTGACCGCAACTCTTTGAGCGCGACCATCCAGCCAATTCCTTATCCACCGAGTGGTCCGTCTGTCAAATCCATGTCTCTCCAAATTAGAGACAAGGATGTTGTACAGGACAGTGTCTGATGCTTTGCACAAGTCCAAGTAGGTGACGTCAGTCGCTCTTCCCTTATCCACCAATGCTGTAACCCCATTGTAGAAGGCCACCACATTTTTTCTTTTTGCTGAGTTTGGTCTTATGCTGCCATGTAACTGTACCATGCAGGAGCAGTAATTCCCCTGGCTGAGGCTCAGCCGTCCTCTGAATGCCAGGGACTGGGCCAGTGCAATGCCAGGGGCTGTAGTTTTCACCGGCATCGCTGGAATTAGCTTGCTGATGATAACGTAGTTAGCGCCAGCTTGGGAGTGGAGCAGGGAGGGGGGAAATCCATGTATAAGCTTTGACTGTGCTGTTGCAGTGAGCGAGGCTTGTTGAATGAAAGACTTGGACAGAAACCAAGTGACGTGGTGGTATGTAGGGCTGCTGCAGAACCAAGGTGTTAATGACGTGCCGGCTAGGAAGAGTAAGTGGGATCTGAGGCAATGTTGCACTCTTACGGCATCTTTGTTGGGTATGGGAGAGGGGAATTAAGCTTTTATGTTATAGTATTTCCGTATGGAGCTACTGTTACGCATGGAAATACGCTAACATTTGTGATGAGCGTGGAAGGGTAAACAGTGTTAGATGCTTCTGTGGCTCCCTGTCCCTTTCCTTCCCTTTCTAAAAATACCGTAACAAGAATATGGGGGAAAGCAGGTGGCATTACTGAAATATGGATTCTGTAATTGTTACAGGGTGTGAAGGACAATTTTTTTTTTTTTTTTTTATTATTACAATATACCAAGTGTGAATTGAATCCTTCTCAAAGCGAGGAATTAATTATGCTGCCTACAAGTTGGAATAATGTGAGGGAGCACCATACAATCCTCCCATTGTGCTGCCAGTGCACCTGCACAACGTCTTCTGTTCCACTTCCAGGCTTCTTTTAGGCAATGTTTATTTGTGTCTTGTGTGGCTTGTAGTAAGATAGAAGTTGCCAGTAACCATCAGAGTAGACAGTATCTTGTCTTTTAACACTGACAAGATATGGAAGTATCACGGTGAGTAAAGGTGGGGTAACCTCTCTCTCGTAGAGACATTTATCCTGTCTCTGTTTGCCTTCCAGAGTTCTGGTTCACTGTTAATTTTATAACTTTAAATCCCCAGTCTTTATTGATCAGTGGTAAGGTTTTGGCATTTGCATTTCTGTGCTGTGAAGTTATGTGTCATTTTCCTTTCTATCTCCTCAAATATGAATCCTCTCTAATTTCATTGAGTGATCAGTTATTCTCATGTTACATAAAACAGAGCACAGAAAGCCTGTCTCTTCTCTGTGCCATTTCATTATTTCGTATAATTGCATTATGTCTCCTGTAATCTCTCCTTTGTAAGGTAAATAGTCACAGTCATTTCTATCTCTTCTCATAAAGGATTTGGATAAATTTTAATATTATTGCTACTACTATTATTGTCTGAATCCCCTTCAACATTGGAGCATTCATTTTTTGAGATGCTGTTACCAGTGCAGCATGTGGCATGGCAGAGATAATGCTAATCTACATTAGAGCAATGTTACCTCCCTGCTGGTCACCATTTTATTCCTCATTTATCCTAATATTTTTTTAACTACAGTTAAGAATTTGATTTAGAAGAGTGGTCTTCCTTGAGAAGTGTTCCTTGACCCTGAGGTGTCTTTACTGAATTGATAAAGTTTGCTTTAAGTGGTATTAGAGCACGTGTAATTGCATTTACTCCCTCTAGTACATGCTGCTTTTAATGTTGAGCTGCTCATGATACTGTCTTTTCACCTAGCTTTTTTTAGGTTTATCTTGAAATTCTTCACTGTCATTTCTGGTCTTTCCTCACCCAAATAATTGTGTGTTGTCTACAGACTTTGCCACCTCATTGCTCATCTTCTTTTCCAGATCAAGAATAAATGTAGTAAACAACACAGAACTGAGTTTACCAAAGCTTTTTCCTGATGTGAAAAATAAATTATTTGGAGACTTCAGTTAGACTACTCAGATGATTTGATAAATTTTTTTAACTTCGATTTCAATAGCTAAAAGACCTAGATCGCTGCTACTTTTTTTCCATAAAAAAACAGAACAAAACTAAAGCTCTACCAACTTGTCTTACAGACCCTGTCCAGAAGAATTTCAAATCCATACTTGGAAACTCCTTCAAACAAGGTATTTGTCAAGCTTCTTTTAAATTCCATTTCATCAAACAACATGTTCGGAATCTTTTTGGTTTAGTTCAACCTCTTAATCATAGCTTCAAAGATGCTTGTGAATGTGGACTGCAGTTAAATCCAGTTAACAAGTTACAATTTATGTGTGTTAGAAATTGTTTGCTTCTATTATTGAATTTGCAAACTGAATTGTTGTGAATTCTGGTGTGCACTCACTTCCCAGCCATTTAAATGATTGCCACAGTTTAGCTTACTTTTGAAATATTTGAGAGCTCTGTTTTTGCATCACACAAGACTTTACTGTCTCAGGACTATTTTATATTCCTTGAAAGATTCCTAAACAGAGGAAACAAACAAACAAAAAAAGGTGAAACTGTGGCATTATTTTTCTTTCAAATTAGTTATTTGTGTTACTGATAGGTTTTGCTGGGATGGTGAGGCAACATCACAACAGAATCATAGAATGCTTTGGGATGGAAGGGCCCTTTTAAAGGTCATCTAGTCCAACCCCCCTGCAATTGGCAGAGACATCTTCAACTAGATCAGGTTGCTCAGAGCCCCATCTAGCCTGTCCTTGAATGTTTCCAAGGATGGGGCATCTACCACCTCTCTGGGCAACCTGTTCCAGTGTTTCACCCTCATCGTGAAGCCTGAGTTAAATTCATCAGTAAGGAGTGGTATACAGAGTCCAGATGGAACATGGTTTTATAGAAGATGGAGTTGGGTCCTGTTTTGATAGACACATTTGCAGCCTTGAGGTGTAAGGTAGACAGCAGGTGTGGGGGAAGTCAGAGGTGTGTCCATTCTGAAAGACCGCATCCTCCTGGCAAGGTATGGATGAACCGACCTGTAGCTATCATAGGTTACCCCCAAAGTTTCTGAACAAAAAGGAAAAACTGTGAAATGGTGTTTCAGTGTGTATTAGACTTGTATTAAATTATTTAAATACATATAGAATAATGTTTAATTTTAACTGTGTGGTTTTGCAATGGTTAATATAGTCTTTTTGCTTTGCTAGAATAACACTTGTTCTTATTTGAACTTGTCTGTTGTTCAAAGGTAAAACTGACAGAGATGGTAAAACCTCTGCTTTTCTCAGGCAGCAAATGTAAAAGTAGTCCAGCTTGTGGGGGCATCTGCAACCCATGATAGAACTGGGTATGGGAGAAGTTGGGGTGCATTGCCTATGAGGCTTTGACTGCTTGCTTGCCGTTTAGCTGGGGAGAAGGCATCACTCAGAGGGAGGGAGCGGACAGTGGCAAGGCAATTTCCTACAGCAGGAATAAATCCCTGTTTGTCACAGTTTTCAATTTCTCTTTTCATTCAGATTTATGGAGAAAGTTCTTCCTGTGCTGGGAGAGCTCTCAGGAATATTTTTACTCTACAAGCATCTGACCTGATTAAAGACAGGGTGTACCTTACTGGCATTTGCAGGTAACCCAAGATCATTTGTTTTAATCAACTGGATGGGTTTTAGTTGCATTTGTCTATGCCCTAATTTGACAAGAGAGTAAAGTCAGAGAGTGAGATTTTGTGTGTGTTACTAAGAATCGAAAATATTTTCTAAAAAAATTCTTAAAAATCTCATGTATTTTAATATCTTTTCTTATGTTACTTTGTCAGTTGTCAGCAAGCAGTAGTGACCTGCTTGTATGTCTATGAATTTAATTGCTTATGATTTCATATACAGTTGTGTTTGTCTGTTGAAAATAAAGAGTATTAAATTCAGCCCTGGTCTGGAGTTATAAAAGAGATTAATTGGATTACTAAGATTTAGCTACACAGTAATTTTTGCATGTAATTTATGGAATATTTTTGTAATGAAGTGATTTTCCATTTGTGTTGCATTACAGCATAAATACTTCCTCCTGTTTTCAATGATGCCAAAATGTGCAGGTTTCTATTATAGCACTATTCATTCATATTTGTATTTAAGGAAAAGCCACAACTTATCTTTTTAAATCATAAAAAAAAGTTTACCAATAATGTGAAAGATGAATTACATCCTAGAGCAACACTCAAGGTCTTACATATCTATTGTGTAGCTGTATTGCTTATGCCTGTGCTCAGAAAGGAAATAAAATCCTGACGCTAAAAGCTGGATTTTATTTAGCTCTTATACACCTTTGGATGACTGTCTGTATGCAGCACAAATTGATAAAAATATAATATATTGTAAAGTATGCCACATGAATTAGGTATGTAAGGGAACTTACTCATCTAACACGAGTTCCCTCGTTGTAACTAGGGTCATCCCCTGAGACTTGCCAGAATAATTTCTTCCCTTGAAATGAATAGGATTACAAAAATTAGTAATTGAGACAAAGAGTTTGCCCTGCTG